ATGTTTTCAAAACATCAAACAAATAAAGGAGTAATAAAAAATGTAGTTTATCAAAACAACAATATACTTATTTGAATATTTGTAGTAAACAAGAGACCTTTTATATAGACTTCCATGGAATTATTACAAAGAAGAAACTAAGTTAAGTTTAGAAAAATTAATGAGTCTGATGCATAATATCCAAGAACCAAACACAAAATATATTACTAATAGAAAAATCAATCCCTTGGCTAGAATTGATATTACAAATGTCACCCCCATCTGGCTTATGTCAGAAACAGAACGTCGACAACATTTAGATAACGACCCGATAATGCGCCCCCATTCCCATATCATATCTTTACGTTTATTTACAAGAGTTCCTTTACTATCAAGGGGTCGAAGAAAAGGGTTCCTTGTACAAACAGTCAGATGTATGTATATGCCATTGACCCATCTCAAGTACTTTTGCCTTGCCCCTTTTCCCAAGAACATCTGCCCCCGCAAAGGGTGACATATATTATATTATGGTGATGATTGACCGAAATTGGGTGATACTTATGATAGTATCGATTTACATATTTAAGTTGAAATTAAGGGAATGTGTTGAAGAAATTGGATTTTGCACTCAGGGCATGCATGTTATTTTTAACTTAAAAAGTTGATGATTTTACCAGAAAACCGAATTTGTGTTTTCTCGACGTTGCCAGTAATTCTCAATCGTTTGAGACTAAATTTGAAAAAGTATGTAAGATGTTTAAAGATTTAATAATTTGAATTATATATTAATTTTAACATTTAAACTATTCACTATGCAAGATGGCGGTTACAACGTTTTGACAGTTCCAGTAGTGGTAATAATAGTTTGTTTGATTTTATTAATGAAATAAATCTCAAATGTGATATTGTAGTATAAGTAACATAAAAAGACTAATTTAAACATGTTTTAAATAACCATTTACGTAATTACTTTATTATTTTGCTTATATTTAATTTTGACATTTAAAACGATTCACTATGCAAAATGGCGGTTACAACGGTATGAAGTTGTGACAGTTTCAGGTGCGAAGTAAACATTGTAGTGTTACCAGTGCAAGATAAAAAATAGTTTTTATTCAAAAACATAAATGGCATTTTAGTATATGAACAAAGACTAAAAAATAATGTATAGTTCTATTAACTATATTTGTTCTTTTCCTTATTATCATTAATATTCTTTATATAAATTTTTAACTTTAAATTTGACATTTAAAACTATTCAAATTCAAAATGGCCGCTACGAAGATTAAGAGAAGTGTTGAAGAAATGGAATTTGCACTCATGCATGATATTTTTGGTGATTACCAGATAAACCGATTTGCTAATTTGTGCGTTCTTTCTCGACGTTGCAAGTCATTCTCAATCGTTTGAGACCAAATTTGAAAAAAAGTATGTAACACGTTTAAAGATTCAATAATTTGAATTATCTTGTTCTTCCTTGAACAATTTTTCCCAACCCACATAAATAATATGGCCATAGCCCTCGTCTTTATTAGCTTTGATTGGTCGCCCTAATCATCATAATTAATTTATTGGCTATATAAATAAAAATAATGTAAAAATCCAATATTGAAACGAACCAAATTTCATATACCTTTCTGTCATTTATTACTGATAGTAATAACTTATAATAGGTACCTTCAACAATATATCTAACTATGTGAACTAATTTTCAATCAATTATCAGCTAATTTTCGACTACTTTGGAGCAGCCTTTTGTGGCATTACAAATTTTATAGATTCTGTTTAAATTGCAATTACATACTACATTTGCTTAGTGAATTATCTATATATTTACGTGTTTGTATTAGTATGTATAAATAGGCACCTGTTGCCCGTTAAAGCTCACATGTATGTATGTACATGTACACGCATTGCATATGAAAATTCCTTAAACACCGTTAAGTTAATCAAGTGGCTTGGATTCCGACCAGATTCCAATCCAATCCAATCGATCTAACTCTATCCAGCTGAACTAGTATTGGAGTCACAATAATATACATACATATAATGTATCTATTTATTTATTATAATGCACATGGCAATTTTAACTGTTCACACATCTTTTACTGTTCGTTTTTTATAGAGAATGTCGAAAAGTTAGGAAATAAAAAGACCATATGAATGTATCGATAATTAGTGGGCAAGCAGGTAACGTTAATGTTATATCGATATTATTTATTTATTTTCTCGTGTGTGTGTGTTTAATATGTACTTTGTTGGCCCGAAGCGGTAACAGTGCGTGATTTTAGGTCAAATTGCTTTTGAGTAATTGAATGATGTATTCGAAAATTATATAGGTACCTATTACAAATTATTACTATCGGTATTAAATGATAGAGAGGTATAAGAAATTTTGTTGGCTTTAATATTGGATTTGTACATTCTTTTTAGTTATATTTCAAATAATTTAATAATAATAATAAAGACAACCAACCAAAACCAATAATGGGCTGAGGCCGATAACAAATTTAAAGATGTTGCCTTCTGCAAAAATTTCTCAATTTGATTTCAATAAATATTTTTGACTAATATTTATTTATGTAGTCTTTTGTATCATCAAGGTTTTTTGTAAATAATGTTTATTATTATTGATAACTAAATTGATAAATAAAATTTGATTTAAATTGGTTTGGAAACAAATTTGAAGTCAATAAAATTCTAATTATTCAAATAATTTTATAAAAAGGGATGTATTGATGAATCCGAATGTATGAGCGAAAACTGAAGAAGAAATTAAGAAGAATAATAAGCTTTTGGTTATAAATTTTATATATGTTTCCAAATTTTGGAAAAATGTATAATATCGAACAAAAAAAATTCCATTGTCGTGATCTTGCAATAATATTATTTTATCATATTTGGTGTCAATTCAAAAGTATTCCAGTTGACTAATATGGGATTTTCGAAATATTACTTAATCTTTAAAACTAAATCTACAACTTTATATATATAATTCAGAGTGAATCATTTACAACCGTGTATTAACGATTCTAAGAAATATTGAAAATAGTTCACGAATTTATTGATCAATGATGATTCATGAGAAAATGTTAATGAGAACAAAATTCTCATTAAATTTTGATACTAATATGTACTTGGAAATTAATAAAATATTCTATTCAATAACGAACTTAGATATACTACCTATTGGCAAGTGGTAAATATTGAATTGAAAGTCTAATAATCGGTAACATCAATAAAAAATGCGATTTTTTAAAGCAAATCACAATTCACAAATTAATTATTTACTAAAAAACGAGTAAGAAATAAAATTCTCAAGTACACCCATTTTGTTAACTCATTTTACTCCGTCACTATCTGTCTCGCTCACTCATACCAAACATATCCTCTATCTATCTCTCTTATTTTTTTAACCAATTAGGTTCCAACGAGTTTGTTAGAAGTTCGACCATATTTTTAGGTTTTAGTAAAAGACCCATTTTTTCTTAATTTTATTTATTTTAATTATTTTAATTTTTTGTATTGTCAGAATACAAATCTATTAATTACGAATACAAATTTATTTATTTAATGTAATATTTAATATTTAAATATTTATGTAAAAGTAGCAAATCCGCCATCGGCATGTGGAACAAACTTTTTTTTAACGTCGATGTTGCTTAACAACATCGTTGACATTTATAAAATAATATTTAATAAATAATTAGTCGTCGAACAGGAAAACTTTCTAAAGATTTTACTTTGTTTTTCATACTTTGCAACTGAACGTCGCTAAAATAAAAAGATGAATTATCTAGATAATTTATCTAGATTGAATATTAATAATGGCAACAGCTTTTTGTAAATGTTGTCAGGAAAATAGATTGATAGAATATATATATTAATAAATGTCAACAATCATAAATCAAAGGACTATAATATTTTAGAACACTTGTTTAAATAATGAAAAATGTCCAAAATAAGAAGATCAACGATTAATTACGAAGAAATGGCTCGGCCGATCTGTACTAAAAATCATCAGCACAAATTCCCAACTGAATTTTTTTAAAAATAAATTTTGATTGCAGATTTTTGTCATTTTTTTAAAAATATTGTCGAAATATTTTGCACTCAAATGTCACAAATATCTCCTTCAGGCAGTTAATAATATTTTTGAGATTTTTCTTTTAGAATTTCTCATTTTTTTGTATATTTTTACAAAATGTTTGACATGATTTACATAGATTTTTTCTTTCTTTTCCAGACATAAAGAAAAAAATGCAGAGGTCCAGGACAAGTGCCCAAGATACAATAATCAAAAGCCTTAAAATTCACACAAATTCCACAAAAACTTTATCATCCCTAAAGTGACCTTAATCCAATAAAAATGTTGCTGTAAACATTAACCAAATCAACTAAAATAATTAAATAACTTATTTAACCATAATGGATTCTACAAAAGTCGACACAGAAGACAAAAATCGACACAAGATATCCAAAGGCTATTTTATATTTTTCCTGGTTAATTATTTGCTGGTGAACCAGGTTGTGGAAGGTTGGGTGCAGGAGCCTCAGGCCAGGAAGTTCTTCAAATATGCAGATTTAACAAATGTCCCACAGTTTTTGGGAAGTACTTTAAGTTTTAATAATAATTTAAATGATAAAGACACGAAGCAGTATTTTAAACTCCTGCAGCACGAGACGCAAGACTCGATATTAGTTGGAGCAAGGTAAGGAAATAGTTAAACAAATATGGCGGATCTAGTGGTCGGTCATAAATGTCAAAAGTGTTAAAAAATATTGTAAAAAAATAACTAACAATTCGTCAAAAACTTCTCGATTTATGATAAAATGAGTATAAAGCTTCAATTCATGAACTTATTCCTCTAATTTCACATTTTTTCATGATTTCTCTATTTTTGGCAAATTTCTGTGACAGGTAAGCAAAGATTTTTTCTATTTTTGGCAAATTTATTAACGATATAATTTAAATACATAGTATACAAATCATAGATTACAAATCAAAATAAATGGTTAAATTATTTATTATTTTGCAGCATTTTTTTAAATCTTTAATATAACTGTGACAGTTAAACAAATATGGCGGATTTGGTTGCCAAATGTCAAAAGTGTTAAAAAATAACTACAATTTGTCAAAAACTTGTTCCTTTTATTGCTAATTTGATAAAATGAGTATAAAGCTTCAATTCATTGTAATATTTCTCTAATTTCGCATTCTTCTATGATTTCTCTGTTTTTGGTAGATTTCTGTGACAGGTAAACAAAGATGGCGAATTCACTTGCCGCCATAAATATTCAAATAGTAGGGTAGGGCGGGGCTAGTTGAGCAAATTTTTACTTAAACGGATGTAGCTCCTCAATGAAAAGTCTCAATAAATTGCTATACGGCTTAATGGTATTGTTGTTTATCGCTTAACAAAAGTGTTAATACTAGTTTTTGGTAATAAGTAAAATTTAAAAGCTACAGCTGTTTAAGTGCAAAAAGTCCCGTATGCTCAATGTACCCCATAGGTGGGGCAAGTTGAGCACTAAGAAAGTATAATGAAATTATAGGCTCAATGTCGATTAGTGATAAAATAAAATAAGTTTTTAGTAACCAGTTCTATATTTATAGTCTTTATTGACAGAGAAAACAAAACTTATAGTAATTTGCTTTGAATAATTAACGATTAATTAACTTAGGAATTATTTTACCATTATATTCAGTATTTTTGTTTAAAATCATTATTTCTTTATATTATTACTCATAGACTTAGCTTAAATCTTAAAAATAATAATTAATTTCTGGAAGTTAATGGCAATTGTCTTAGTGACAGAACAAGTTTAGCAACTATGCTCAACTAACCCCAACTCGGAATTTCAAAATAAAAGTGAGTTTATAAAAAAACGTGAGAATTATACCCAGAATCTCTGTGCATATTAAAAGTACTATAATTATATGGAAGAATAACATTTACCTGATTAAAAATAAATAACATTTGACTAAACCAGACGAAAACTCGTGACGAATTACTTTTTTACTTTTTGGTCTCAAAATAAACAAAACGGCCGTGAGCCTCAATCATTTGTCCAGCGGCCACTGGCGATCGCGGGATGTTTATTTCTTTCAAATCTCTATCTTTCCGCCATATAATGCCTAAACGGACGGTAAATCGTTTTCGAGATATTTCGATTGCTCAACTTGCTCCTATGCTCAACTAGCCCCGCCCTACCCTACGAAAACTATTAAAAATTGTTCGTTAACGTGTCGTTTTATAAATCTTCTCTCAATTATCGAACAGATTTTTTTCGAAATGCATCTGGTCCCTCGTTTTACCAGGCAATAGTCCGACATGTGTTGTTAAAGGTTATTTCCGTCCGCTCAAGTGTTTTGTTTCGCTAAATGCTCCCGTTCTTTCTTCTCATAAACAGTTCCGAGAGTAGAATTATTATTATTTTAATTTTAGATTAAAAATATTCTGTTCGCGGCTAACACGTGCCCCCCATGTGTATACAACATCGAAAGTTAAATAAACATAAACATGCTACGTACGAGAATTTAATATCGATTTTATATTTAACGCAACTCTTAAAATAATATCGGTTTCCGGAGAGAGACTCATTAAACCGCACCTGGAAAATGGACAGAGGCATTTGTAATTCTTATTCTCAAATATTTCAATAATCTATTACCATCTTCTAATAGAGTCACACCAGACAATTTACAATAGTGCTGCTGGTAGTACAAGTATAAATAATATGAATGGATGCAGAGAGAATTGGCCCGCTTTGATTTCAATTGAATTAAACTCTTCAAATAGAATTAGCCGCAACAATTGCCATTCCGATGGGCTTAAATGGTTGTCGTACACTCGCAACTGGCGAACGAGGGGGCCCCCCTAACATAAGACTTTAAAAGCTTCCTCTTATTGTCGCACTAAGAATCATGTGACACAGATACAAAAAATTTTATATTCCATTGAATTATATTTCCTTATTAAAGATTTAAAAAAATGCTGCAAAATATAAAATAATTGACAATTTATTTTGATTTGTAACCTATAATTTGCATACTACGTATTTAAATTATATTGTTAACTTAGAAAAAATATAGAAAAAATCTTTAAGGGCCAACCTAGGAGAAGGAAGGAAATAAGAAAAATACTTAATGAAGTAATATAAATAATTAACTAAATGATTGTTTTATACTTATTTTATCATACTAGTTATGAAATTACATTATTGACGTTATTTTTTGCAACATTTTTCACACTATTGACATTTACGTCAACAACCAAATCCGCCATATTTGTTTAACTGCCATTTTCGTTATTTCAAAATTTTAGCCTAAAAAATGCCGTAAAACAACATAAACAATTACAATTTTATAAAATAAAATTCCATTACCATTGTACATTCCATTACTACAGTCTTCAGATTTCTATAATCTACACATTATTATTATTAGAATTAAAAGTCTATTACTCATTCCTTTCAAAGCTCCTCCATTACAAATACCAGTCCCTTTTTTTTCACGGGAACACTTTTATGGCAGACATTAAATTTGAATTGAAATAGATTTCAAGTAGTTTATACTCTGCCTATTTATTTATTAAGATGTCGTAAAACTTAAGTTTAGTCTAGCAAAAAACAATAATTAGATGCCGAGAGAAAGGAGGAATTGTTTGTTAGATAATAGTGAAGTTGGCTAAATTTAAAAGAAAATGGAGGAAATTTTGATATTTTGAAAAATAAATATAAAAGAGATAAAACAAGAATAAAAATTAATACAGCAGCATTTATATTATTAATGAATATATATTGCAATTGCTTTAATTTTGTAGTAGTAAAAATAATCAATTAATAAGATATTGACTAATTATTTAAAAAAAAAAAAACTTCACGTTGGTCAGCCATTCAAAATAAGAGATTTTTCATTTGAAAAAATAAATATAAATAAACAAAATAAGTATTAACAAATAGAATTTGCAAATGAATTAAATAGAACTTTCGTCTTATGAATAAACACATTGCAATTGTAATTTCGATATAAAAATAATTGAATATTGAGTAATTATCAAAAATTCTTCATGTTGGTTAACCTTTCAGAATCAGAGAAATTTTTGACGTTTGAAAATTTAAATTTGAATAAATAAAATAATTGCAGATATGAAATAAAAATAGAAACTAGCTGTAAGTGGAATTCTGTCTTGAGGCAATTATGGCATCGTGCCTTAAGGCAAATTGCTGGAACTTCCCGCACCGTAACGAAATGTTCGAAGAATACTGAATGTTTTCAAATAGATTATTATAAATATTGTAACATTGTGTAATATTTATAAGAATTATATAAACCGAATTGCAGAGTTGAAATTATTTGTAAAGTATATTAGAACTATAGTCAGAATTAAAAATAGAATCTGAAATATTTTCGATATACAAAATACTAAAAAAAAAAAAAAAAAAAAAAAATTGGAACAAATTTTTTTTCAAAATCAATTATTTTGTTAAGACTAGCGGAAAGTTCTTTGAATCATTTAAATCGGACGCTTAGTTCTCTCAAAAACTGCCATTTTTACATATTTAGCTCCGTATCTTCGAAATGGCTGGACCTGCCTTTGCCAAAAAGTAATAAACACTTCTCCCAATCATTACTAATTGAATGTTTTTTAGATCATTCAAATCGGATACTCCGTTCGCTCAAAAATTCGATTTCTATTTTCTGCACTCTTTGCTCCGTATCTCCGAAACGGCTGGACCTGCCTTTGCCAAAAACTAATCAGCTCTTTTTCCTATCAATAGGAATCGGATGTTTTTTGAACCATTCAAATCGGTTGATCCGTGCGCCCTAAAACGTGACTGGAAATTTGTATCCACACATACATACACACACACACACACACACACACACACCACACACACACACATCCATTTTTTCTGAGGTATGCCAAAACGTTCAGAAACCTTCAAAACGTCGAGAAATGTAAAAATTTTCAATTCCGATTTTCGGCCCATTACAATAACTTACCCTACGGGAAGTTAATAAATAAAATAGTACGTCTGTATTATTAATAAATATATTGCAATTGTTATAATTTCGAAATAAAAATTAAGTAATTGAGGCATTAATATCAAAACTTCGTTTAAAAGATCAGAAAAAACTTTGACGTCTGAAAAACCAATTATAAAAGTAAATAAATTAAATATAAAAATAATTATAATCGCACTTTAATATTATTAATGAATATATAGCAACTGCCATAGTTTTGAGAAAATTAATCCTTATCTTTTCTATTTCCAGAAACGCAGTGTACAATCTAAGTCTTCCTGATCTGATAGAGAACAAAAATCAGGTATGCATAATGTTTTTCCATAAATTTAATTATCCTCAAGTTAATTAAAATCGTGTATTGTAATTAATTTAATTTTATTTCAATTTTCAGCGTATAGAATGGCCTAGTAGCGGTGCACATAGAGAACTTTGCTATTTGAAAGGAAAATCAGAAATAGATTGTCAGAACTACATACGAATCGGTAGGGATAAAATACTAAGGACGTTATTTTACTAATTAAGACTCCATGAAAGACTATTTTTAATGAACTCTATTTTCGACATTTTCAGGAGCCCTAGATACGTCCAACGCCCTCCTGGTCTGTGGCACAAACTCATTCAAGCCCTTGTGCAGAAGGTATCGCAACCTGAACAACAATGGTATCAATTCTGGGATCAATACTAATAATTTGCCACAAACAAATATTACTGCCAGCAGTGAAGCACAAGCTTCTAAGTTACACGAACAATTCGAAGGCATAGGAGTATGCCCTTATGATCCAACGCACAACTCCACTGCTATTTATGCAGGTAAGATAAAAGACAATTAGTGCAGTAAACGGGGAGGAAAAAGGGGTATAACCTCTGAATTTTTTTACTTTACTTTTTTATTAGGTTGATCTTAACCTCAAGTTTAAAACTGAAAACAATTGGGGTTCCGCCACCACCCCCTTGGGAAGTTGCGATCCCTTAATAAATGAGTGGATATTGAGAGCTGTTTTATCGCTAGTAAACGTTTTCAATGTTATAGGATACAATTAAAAAATATTTTTAATACATTTATCTTGTAATAAAATCATTTTCAACGTATAAAGTAAACTAGCTGTAAGTGGAATTCTGTCTTGAGGCAATTATGGCATCGTGCCTTAAGGCAAATTGCTGGAACTTCCCGTACCGTAACGAAATGTTCGTGGAATACTGAATGTTTTCGAATAGATTATTATAAATATTGTAACATTGTCTAATATTTATAAGAATTATATAAACTGAATTGCAGAGTTGAAATTATTTGTAAAGTATATTAGAACTATAGTCAAAATTAAAAATAAAATCTGAAATATTTTCGATATACAAAAAACTAAATTAAAAAAAAAAAAAAAAAAAAAAATTGGAACAAAATTTTTTTTTCCAAAATCAATTTTTTTGTTGAGACAAGCAGAAAGTTCTTTGAATCATTTAAATCGGACGCTTAGTTCTCTCAAAAATTGCCATTTTTTACATATTTAGCTCAGTATCTTCAAAATGACTGGGCCTGCCTTTGCCAAAAACTAATAAACACTTCTCTGAATCATTACTAATTGAATGTTTTTTAGATCATTCAAATCGGATACTCCGTTCTCTCAAAAATTCGATTTCTATTTTCTGCACTCTTTGCTCCGTATCTCCGAAACGGCTGGACCTGCCTTTGCCAAAAACTAATCAGCTCTTTCCCTATCAATAGGAATCGAATGTTTTTTGAACCATTCAAATCGGTTGATCCGTACGCCCGAAAACGTGGGCGAAAATTTGTATCCATACATACATACACACACACACACACACACACACACACACACACATCCATTTTTTCTGAGGTATGCCAAAACGCTCAGAAACCTTCAAAACGTCGAGAAATGTAAAAATTTTCAATTCCGATTTTCGGCCCATTACAATAACTTACCCTACGGGAAGTTAATAATACTTTATGTTTTCTATCTTGATCATCAATTTTTTAACCCTTTTTAGACCCTTAAAAACAACCTCTTGATGAAAATTGTTTGAAAAAATTATTTTGAAATTGAAAGAAAATTAAGAATTTCAAAATGATATGAGTGTTATTTCAATTTCTCGGAAATAATTACCATATCCATAATTTGTTCAACTCTTAAAACTACCCTTGAATAAAAATAGTTAATATAACACGAGTACCCAGTATAATTTTGTCTAAACTCGTATATTTGTTCTTGTTACTGCAATTATTAACCTTTCATTTGACTATAATGATATAAAGCTATATTAATTTATTTAGTCAATAGTTTTGGGCACCAAATACTGCTTACTTATACATTTCTCGAAATATGGACACAATTCGACTAAATTGCGATGAGTTTTCGGGTCATAACTCCTTTAATTTCGACTCCATCACAATTTGTAATATACCATTTGAAAGGTTAATGAAAGGGCTACAACTTTTTCATCATATTTTTTTCGTAACTCCTCTCATTTTGAAACGGCGAACGGTTAAGGGGCTCGAGAGAGACTCTGATTGCGCGGCCGCGCACTATTTAAACAATCATAACTCTGTCAATTTTTGTGTGTAAGGAAAATAATAAAAAACAATAATAAGCCAGAAAGATCCGTTTCATTTTTATCTATATGCATTTATACGTATCTTTTATTCTTTTTGAGATATAATGAAAATGAATTCGATTTTTAAAAAAATCGGAAAAAAAGTTTTTATAAAATCGTGAGTTTTCTGAAAATAGTTTGTACTAAAGTAGTGAATCTGCTAGAACCCATCAAGATGTCTATAATGGAGTGAATTCTGGATGGAATGTGAATTAATCTAATTTTGGTGGAAATGGCACTTATTAAACCATATGATTTAAAAAAAATAACATCGTATATGCTTCTTATTTGTATGATAGCTCATTCATTTTACACGCAAAAAACTTGTAACAGCACTCATTTTAAAACTTATGTTGAGCACTATAAAACTAACAAATAACGAATTTGCTTTTTCAAATCTTGCTTAATTTTTTCCTAGAACACTTGATGTAATACCGATTTATTAAGATTTTTATTGACATTATTTTGTTCATTACATGATTTTCGTTAAAATGTATATTTTAGGAGATATTTGCAAAGATACGAAGAAAAACGCCAAAAATATATGAATTTTTAGTGGCCAGTAACTTGAAAAGTATTAGTTTTTTTTTTGAAAAACTATAGAAGACATTTTTTTCTTATGATTAGTTCTTCTATCGATTTCCGACGTTATTTTGAAAAAATGTAATTACACAATAGAGAAAAGGTGTCATCCCGCCGAACCCGAATTGTTTTCACTTTTGAACTTGAGGGTAAGATGAACCTACTTCCAAAATTTCATGCAATTCGGAGCACAGTAAAAAAATTCAGACCCAAAACGCTCCGTTGACTCCACTAAATGTAATATTATAATAGAACTAGAACCAGATAATAATATTTGTTATGTTATTAGATGGAGCGTTATTTTCGGCAACTGCTGCAGATTTTAGTGGAGGAGATCCATTGATCTACAGAAGTCCCCAAAGGACTGAACGATATGACCTGAGACAACTTAATGATCCTGCATTTGTGGGTTCTGTTACATACGGAGAACATGTTTATGTATTCTTTAGAGAAACTGCAGTCGAACACATGAATTGTGGAAAGGTAATAATACCTTGATGAATATAAATAAATTAAAAAACAAATTTAATACATTTATATATCCTTTATCCAGGTGGTTTATTCCCGTGTGGGTCGCATATGTGCCTCAGACAGAGGAGGTCCCAGGCATTTTGGAGACCGTTGGACAAGTTTTGTGAAGGCTCGTTTGAATTGTTCAGTTGCTGGTGATTATCCATTTTACTTCGATGAAGTCCAGGCTGTAAGTGGACCCCATAAGGGTGTACGTGCTGGTGGAGTGGAAAGCTCGGTTGTATATCTAGTAGCTACAACAGCACCTTCTGCAATTGGAGGCTCGGCTGTGTGTGCTTTTGATATGGATCATGTTGCCAAATTATTTGATACGGCTTCGTTCAAACATCAACCGCATGGGATTAATTCTAATTGGCTACCAGTAAGATAAAAAAAAATTTATGTGCTTTTATTTAGACAAATGGAGCAATGGTATATTATGTTTCTTTTATCCAGGTGCCTCCTGAGCAAGTTCCAGTACCCAGACCAGGTTCTTGTTTGGAAGATTCTAGGACTCTATCAGACAATAATGTTAACTTCATCAGAGCACATTCGTTGTTAGATCCTGCTATTCCTGGTTTAACAAGGCATCCTTTGATTACACGAGTCAGTTTGTCACACAGGATGTTCAGTATTGCTGTTCAACCACAGGTTGGTTGCAGAATTTAAATTAAAATTGTACTCTGGTGTATATATTAAATATTTTTAACTTTTATTTAGATAAGAGCCTTAAATGACAAAACCTACGACATGCTGTACATCGGCACGGATGATGGCCGTGTGTTGCAAGCCCTAAATACAGCCCTGGCAGTGTCCCTAAATGCAAGCAATCCTATTTTGGTGTCCGAATGGCAATTGGCACCACAAGGCGAACCCATCAGGGAACTAAGAATGGCAGGTGCTGCAAATAACAGATTTTTAGTTGCTGTAACTGATGAAAGAGTCCTGGCAGCAGATACAAGATTTGTTTGCAAATCAGCTTCCAATTGTCGGTGAGTACAACACTGCCACATTTTATACTACCAATGTGCTGGAAGATATATTTAACGAGTTTTTAATTTCCTAGTGAGTGTCTACAACTAAGAAATCCTGAATGTGCCTACGACCGACGCAACCAAATGTGCATATCTCTACAAGATCACCCATATCCCAACAAAGAACGCTTCCTACAGAGTCTAGACCCTGAAGACTACCAATCGGTAGCCAATAGTGATGCAGAACTCTGCAAAAAGTCTCAAACATGGCCAGGAGTGCCTGCTTCCAGACGAAGACCTGATGCCAACAAGGGTCGTGATGAGACTGGACATTCTGGTGATGGAAGCGGGGAAAACAAAAGAATTTCATCGGATGAATTGGATAATGAAATCGTTATTGAACTTGTAGGCTCTAGAGCATTGGCTGATGATGTTGGAGTTTTGAGGAACGGAGGAGGTTTGAATGATAATGGAGACGAAGAAAGGATAGGTAATTGGAATCTTTCTTATATCTTGCTTATATATTTCATCATATAAATAATTAAATTATAATAACAGTTTTGTGTGATAAAGCTTAATAGATAATATTAATCAATAAAATTCGCTCTATTCAATTTATGATCAATAAAAACATTATATTTATTAATTATACTTGCAATAAATATAAGAAATTAACT